TATCGATGCAAGCGTTCTTTGTACATCAAGTCCAAGTGGACAAGGGACGTGTAAGGTAAAGGCATTTCCGTACAGAAAGTATAAATGGCTCTGTGCCCAATAATGTTTTTCTTTCCAAAGGGTGACTCCGGAGGTCCTCTTGTTAATGGAAATACACTCATTGGATTAGTTTCTTTCGGAAATCCGTAAGTTATAATCATTTCTGGGTTGATTCAAGTGCATTCCAAAATTTTGTGCAAATTTTCATTGTAGCTGTGCTAAAGGGAGGCCAGACGCTTTTGCGAATGTGGCCCATTTCACCAAATGGATCAAATCAAACGCAGTCTAAGTGGTGGTATTGCCTTTACAAATGCGCTTTCGTGACGAATCAATAAAACGAATTCAAATGAACGTAGAAACGCTTATGTTTACTTTTTCTATCGACACCAAATTGATTACAGCAATCCCATTTCAAACATTCGAAAAGAATGAGCATACCCTAGATAAAGATCTATCGTTGAATTTCTTTGTTTAAATCATCCATACTCATTCTTCTCTGCTGTTATTACAAAAACTTTAATGACTGGATCAGATCAAACGCAAACCAAATCTCAATTCGCAACGTTAGCAAGACAATTCAACCTTAACATTACATGTGGGCTTTTGTAACTAGTTTTTAAGAAAATTTCAACTCATTTTTTTAATTATTTTAAAACAATACGAACAGCAGTGATTATTTTCGTGTGCGTCGCAATCTTTTGTTCACACACATTAATTTTTGATAAATTGCATGAAAAAAAAACCGAAAATTCAATCCTTCTTCACTATTTTCGGTTGAATAGAATCTTTTATTTGTTCTTTCAATTACGTTGATTCAATCGTAAAGCAATTGTATCCATCGACAATATTGACTTTTTTGCCTACAAAAACCATCGGTTCTATCTCGATCAAAGACAAAGTAACAACCATAAAACAAAAAACAAAAATGGTAACTGGTCAACAATCAATAAATGAAATGAAACACATTCACTTTTTTTTTCATTTTCGACGCGCGATTGCTGTTGTTTTTTAGAATAAACACAAATCGTCTGTCAAGTTCAGGAAATACTCCTGAATCCAGACGGTAGATTTAAGAGAGATCAGTTGGCTTTTATAAGATAATCAACTGATGATATCAATATCTGACAGTCGGCTGTCATACGGATTTTATCTACGTGCCATATGGTTAGATACATATTTATTGACTAATTGGAATTTCTTCTGAATTTTTTGTCTGAAATCTTTATTTGGATTGAGACAATTTGCATTAAAGTTACGTCAATTTGCATCTGTTTCCTCTTCAAATTGAAATTGTGCCTTTCGAATGTTGGCTTTAAATACGGCACACACTAAACGAGATAATTGATGCGAGCTCATTGTTGGAGTGAATAGTTAGTGGCTCAAGTAAAGAAAATTTCATAAGAATGAAGTTGGAACTGTGTATTTTATTTTGTATCTTGCAGCTCATGTCAGGTAAGACCATTACGGAGGTTGAATTTAAGAAAAAGAAATCTGATGTGTCGAATCAGCACGTCATCTCGATGGTTCTTCTATCGAATATCATCAAATATTTCGCTAGAATCATTTTTGAAATAAAGAACAAAATTGAAAAAGCTCACACAAACTTTCGAGATCTTAATAAGAGATTCAGATAAATTTGAAAATATGCCTTGTTTCATGATAATACATGTATCCATTTTTTTAGCTGTTCCACCGCCGACATCTCGTATTGTTGGAGGCATTAATGCGGATAATGGCTTGGCTCCGTATCAATGCTCACTGCGAAGAAGTCAAAATTTGGCACATTTCTGTGGTTGTTCTATTTTATCCGAGAACTTTGTTGTCACAGCGGCTCACTGCGTAACCAGGTATGAAATACTGCAAAAACTATCGATTTACTTCATTTCCAGATATTTTTTCATTTCTATTTCTTTTTTTTTAAATTTCATTTTGCTTTTGCTCCCCATTTTAATCGATGAAAAATAAAACTAGTGACGCATCAAATGTTCGGGTCGTAGTTGGAACCAATGATCTACAGTCAGGTGAAACTACTTACACGGCTGTAAAATCAATTATTCACCGGAGCTATAATCAACCGCGTCGTCTCGCATATGACATTGCATTGATTAAAGTGGAAAGAGTTCGACAAGTTACTTTTGGGACCGTTAGAGAAAGCATTCAATTTAATGATCAAGTTCAGCCAATTTCGTATTCGCCAAATGTAATTAATGCAGGCACTGTTCTTCAAACAACGGGATGGGGACGATTGGGCGTGAGTGCTTTGAAAACTGAAATGTCAACCATTTTGAACCAAAGAAATTGAACAAATAAGATTATTCGGACAAACTTTTTCTACATAGGCAAACGATGGAAATCCACGATACCTTCAAGTTCTCAATGTAACGGCCATTTCCAACGACAAATGCAGACGTTATTATCGAAATACGGTTGATGACACTCATTTGTGTACACTTACGAAGGCTGGCGAGGGAATTTGCAGTGTACCATAATTATTTCTTCCTTAAATTATACATTTTTTCTCAATCATTCGACTGATGCAAATTTCTCATACGATTTAGGGTGACTCTGGTGGTCCGCTTGTGTTGAACAATCAACTGGTTGGTGTGACTAGCTGGGCAGTTTTGTAAGGAATTTTTCACATTCATTTTAATTAAGTTAATTTCACTGTATTTCAGACTGAAATGAAGAGACGTTTTTCATAAGGCAATCTCTCATCTTAATGAACCTGGTTTCATTATAACGGATATGTGGAGGAAATACCCTGCACTAATTACCAACTCTTGTTTCTATTTCAAGGTGTGCCCGTGGCTATCCTGATGGATTTGTCCGAATTTCTTACGTTTACGATTGGATCAAAGCAAATGTCGGATAGTCATAAAAGCTTATGCGAATCTGAAACCTTTCTAATTGAACTGGAATCAGTGCGTAAAAATTCTTTGTGGATAAGATAAAATTCCAAAATTCAATGTCAAACCAATGAAGATGAATAAACGTTTTTACCAAATACACCTAACACTATTAGTTCTTAACAAACGGCCAAAAGCTCTACATATATGTTAGAAATATTTAATTTAATTCTATAGAAATGTCCATAAGAAAACGCCCTCTTTAGTAAAAATTTGGCTGTTTGTCAAATAAAAGTGTGTATTGCCCGTTTTTAGCTTTTACTATACCCAAACCACAGAATGAATTTGATTGGATATCAAACCGATAAAAATGTTGATTTTCGGACTCACAAGTCAAACAATTTTTTTCAGTTCCTTGAACTTAGGAGAAGTGTTGAAATGTGATTTCTTCATGAATGGGAAATTTCCATGGGAAGTTTGTGCACAAAGTGAGAAATATTTAATTTTGCATCAATTCGTTGATCTAAAAATGAATTTAATTTAAGCTAAGTACACAGTTCCTTGTGAAATGAAAAAATTTCTCCGGTGAAATTTTCACAGGTCATATTTTTATGGTGTTTTTTATTTTCGAATTGCAAGCATAATGATTTTTGATGTATAAAACAGCTAACTCATTCCAATATCAACACGACACATGAACAAATTGGGTTTTTGTGTTCATTCTTCTATGTGTTTTGTCGGAACATATTTTTTTCACGGTCGTGAAAAAATCAGAAAAATCAAAATAAGAATTCAAAATTCAAATTTGTTCATGTGTTGTGTTGATATTGGAGGGAGTTAACTGTTTCATACATCAAAAATCATTATGCTTGCAACTCGAAAATAAAAAACACCACAAAAATATCACCTGTGAAAATTTCAGCGGAGAAATTTTTTCATTGCACGAAGAACTGTGTACTAAGCTTAAAGCTAAGATTATAAGTCACATAATTAAAATGTACCCAATAGTCAGCCATTTGAAAATATCTCGGCTTCATATCCGGTCAAATTAACGCGCTGAATTAAATTGAATTCATAAAGAGTGTGTTTTCTTTTAGCTTGCGAAATTTTACGACAGATAAGCGCGACCAATCTATGTATAACTGAATCAGCTGTGTGTGTTCGTGTGTTCGGCATAGGTCGTCGCGTGATGCCACTATATATCAATAATTATATATATATAAGTAATATATTATAATATATTACTTGAAAATGCGCCAATTGATAAATAAATTTAATGAGCGTTCATGAATGGTCACACTTCGGAAAGTGTCAACACTCGACACATTCAACTGATTTCAAATCGATCGTCAGCAGCTTCGCTACACCTCACACCCATTCGACACATTCTAATTGGATCGCGCAGCTGTGTATACGAACGTAACATGGAGTTTTCAGTAGTTTTCGTGAAGTCATTTGCATTACAATAGCTGGATTAACTTCAAAATTTCGTATAAAATGAAGGTGAAATTGTTGATTGTTCTATGCATTCTGAAGTTAACATCATGTTACTTAGAATACAGTGCAAAAAGTATGAAGCATAGTTTTTTTTAACCCGTGTGAAGATGTGATAACTAACCATGTGCAAACATAACTAATTTCGGAAATTTTGGCTGTCTATGGAAATTTGATTGGCGAAAATTGATTATTTCGAACGAAATATATAACTGTAGTCAACTTCATAATCAAGGATTTGGTATCTGTTTCGGCTGAAGTTAACTCAAGTCACATATTTTGTTCGAGATAGACACTTTTAGTCAGTCACTAGTCAGTGGAAAGGTCTAAAATCAGCTTTTTTCACTCATGGTTAGTTGGCACATATTCACATGGAAAAATCCTCGAACTTTATCACATTTCAATACTAACGTACGCCAAGCTCCATACCAGTGCTCTGTGCAGAAAATCGTAGGGAATTCCGGCATACACTATTGTGGTTGTGCAATCATATCTGATCGTTGGGTTGTTACAGCTGCGCATTGTCTTGAAGAGTAAAACGAAAATCCTCAAAAACGATTCAATACATGAATTTAATCGAATTTTTTGAATCATAATTTAAATACAGTTACAAAGCAAGTCAAATTTAAATAAGAGTTGGATCGAACAAGAAGTATTCGGATGGTACAGTCCTTAAGGTGGAAAAAACAATTAGACACCCAGATTATGCGAGTCCAGAATATGCTATAAATGATATTGGTTTGATTCGTGTTCAAGGCAGCATCGAATTCAATGACAAAGTGAAGCCAATCAATTATGGTGGAGCAGAACCATCGCCCGGCACTAAACTATTGACTACCGGCTGGGGAAAGCTTAGCGATTCTAGTATATCACCACAGAACCTGCAACAGCTTACAGTAAAGACAATTTCTCTTGAAGAGTGTGAAAAATCATGGCCTGGTATCGATGCAAGTGTCCTATGTACATCAAATCCATTTGGCCAAGGGATATACATGGTAAAAATATTTTCGTACGGGATATAAGACTTTGTGTCTAACAACGTTCTTCCATCAAAAGGGTGACTCCGGAGGTCCACTTGTTGAAGGAAATACACTCGTGGGCTTAGTTTCTTTTGGAGAACCGTAAGTTGTAATCATTTCGCTTCTATTTGTGGATTGATTCAAGTGTGTTACAAAATATTGTGCTAATTTTCATTGTAGCTGCGCTAAAGGAATACCAGACAGTTTTACAAATGTGGCTTATTTCACCAGCTGGATCAAATCAAACACAGTCTAATAAGTGGTATTGCCTTTACAAATGCGCTTTCGTGACGAATCAATAAAACGAATTCAAATGAACGTAAAATTGCTTATGTTTAAGTAAAGAAAAGATTTTATCGACACAAAATTGATTACAGTAATTTTTATTCAATTTCATTCAATTTTTTTGTACACCCATTTGTTCATTTATTTCGAGATTTGTTGTTACAGGCCAAAACAGCAGAAAACGTGATTTTTTCAAATTATTTTACATTGTTCAAAAAAAATTTTATCATATGAATGTCCGAGAATGAAAACGTAACTTCTATTCACAACACATATAAGTGAAACAAAAATAAAAAACTCATATAATATGACCAATAACTATATACGCATACAGTCATGGACAAAATAGAGTCAAATTTTCGTATGAAACCTCAATGGATTGTATACTCAATTTTGTCGATGACTGTAATTTTTTGCATTTTGCTAGACATTTTGACAAGTCCTATTTATAGGAAGTCCATGTTAATTTTCAGCCGATTCTGAGATGATCGATCCATTTCTTGGTCGATTTCGTGTGGAATGGTCGATGAATAATTGTAAGGGACCAGCTATTTGAAAATATCTAGGCTTCACGCGTTGAATTAAATTTAATTCATAAAGAGTAAGTTTTCTGTCGATTTGCGAAATATTCTGAGCTTGAATTTGAGCCGGAACTTGAACTTCCGTAATTATTGTGTAGAACGTTTACATTGTTTTCATACCTTGAATTATAACAAGTTTTCTCCAACTATAATAATAGAAATGCCGAACATTTTTTCTCTTTTCTCTTCGTTTAGTTTTCATTTTATGTTTTCCGTTAAACGGAATCTGTTTTAAGTGTATTTGATTGTTGGAAAAATGGCAAGCTATTCAGAAATCAACTTGTAAGCTTTATCGTTGTTTATCAATACTTTTCAATGCTTACTAGCTTCGCTACGCAGCACAATGTTCAGTGAACATTGTTCACATCGATAGTTCTTCCTGTAATAATAAATATGATCGATTTGCGTTGGACAGTTGCAAATATTTCAAAATAAATCATAAACATTATCGCATTCCATTTTAAATCGACCCACGGATCACAATATTTTTCTATAAATAGTGTTGCATCGAAGGAAGAAGTTATTCAAATTCACCAGTTAAACATTTGCACTTGTCGTTCTTAAGAAGAATATTTCGAAAAATGAAATTGCCACTGTTCATCTTGCTCTTCTGCATTCTGTAGTCGATATCAGGGGCTAAGCTGCCGGGCGCAGAAAGTAAGACAGAATTTGTTTGAATTAAGCCCATTTTATTGTTCTACCAAACTAAGTTAATTGTCCTAATTCATCCAAATTCGTAGATAGCGGTACTCTTCTTTGTGGTACTTTTAGCAACGGGCTGGGGACAATTGAGTGTGAGTTGATTTTTTGGTACACATTTTGCACCACTTCACAGGCTATAGCACACTTGACTAATGAAAATAAAATCATTTTGGCAATATTCTAAGGCAGGCTAATGGACGGGTTCCACATCTTTTGCAAACGGTCAATTTGACGGCAATTTGTGATGAAAAAATGATGTTAGCACAATTATCGATGTTCATGCCAGCCATTTGTGCACATTCACTAAAGCCGGTGAAGGGGTTTGTAGCTAAAAATTGAAATGATTTGGAATTTGCACAATTTAAATGCATTTTGACTTCGAATTCTTTAAAATATTCTTCATTCTTCGACCAATTCGCAAAGAATTCACACGCGAGAATGTGCGAATTTGTATAAAAAAATGAGATGAAATGATAAATTCAACTGACATAAATACTTATAGGTTTGTTATGGTGATAGTGGTGGACCTCTTGTCTCAGGCGATGAAGTCGTTGGCTTGGCCAGCTGGACGGCATTTGGGTATGTGTTGTATCATGTGCACAAAATGATCAGAATATCCAAAATTGTGTTATTTTCAATGGATTTCTGTCTTAATTAGGTGTGGCCGTGGCTATCCAGATGGTTTCACCAGAATTTCATATCTCTATGACTGGATCGTAGCAAATATTAAGTAAACTTAAAAGCGCATGACAATCGAATTTCGGAGGCGAGGTGAACTTTTTTGTTTTTATTCCTCCTAGATAAAAATATAATTGTGGGTTCCTTTGTGTTGAAAACGTCATAAAAAATGCTTTGAATATTGCGACGTACGCTTTCAGAAAATAATACTGCCGAAATTGTTGGTTGCACTCTTCTCGGGAAAATCCAAAAAAACTCTAGATGATTCTCGGGTTTCGTCGTTTCGGAATTTGAACTCCCGACAAATAGTTCATTTATGTTTAATATAGTGCCACCTAAGTTGAAAATTTTTTATCTATCATTTTTGAAGTCATGGATGTCCCCAAAAAATTGTTATAGTATACAGTTTCTGATTTTCAAAGTGTAAATTGCGTTTTTCTCTAATGTGAGAGGCCCCGACACGGACCCGACAATCCCCCCAATGCGAACACTAGTATTCATTTAGTTTGCGCATTTTAACTGCCTGTACTTAGTACAGGTACTAGTATAATTTCAAAATAACGGCTTTTACCCTAAACAAACTGAGATTTGCTAAAAAAAAACTAAGACTTATCAATAAAAAGTGTCTAAAGATGTGTGGTCAATTTGTAGGTATGTTGCTTAAAATATCGCACCGTATAACGACGGTGTTTGGAAATTTGCTAATTTGTATCCGCAGAAATGCTATTTTCAAAGAGAGAAAGTCTCTTGAGCCGAAGTATGTTTTACCCAAGATTTCATATTCTTTGTACAATGATGTTGAAATTGTACGAGAAAGGACATTCGGCTCAGACTGTGCAAAACTTTGAGATTTTGAGTTGAACCGAAAATGTTTCTTCGAAAAAGATTCGCATAGTTATGAGCCAACGAGAATATTTTCAGTTTCAATTTCTCTATTTTGACCAAAATTTCTAAGCAGCGACCATATAAATGCATTAGTTTTATCCATCTTTTCCAGGTAAATAAGGGACATACTTGTATTTCTCTGCTTTCCAAAAACTCTGAACACCTTCTTCTACTGAAAATGTTGTGACAAACAATTTTCTCGTAAATACTAAATCCAGATTATCCTAACAAACCAAATTCTTCCACTGCTTCATCACTTACTTGGTAATGTGACCATTTTTTAATGATCAATCCTGACTAAACAATAAGCAGCAGGTAAAATGTCAGTACATTACAAATTCCTTTAGGTAATTGGTGCAAATTCGGAAAAACTTCACAAAATTACAAATATTCTCCTCCTCCTTTTCGTTTATGAAACCCCGAATTTTGTTTCTATAAAACAGGCTTCACCGAAGGAAAGAACTTCATTCATCTTTCAGTCATCGGACAAGAAACATTTTGTGTGTTTGTTTAATTCAATTTCTTTTCCATCTTCATACAACATATTTTCAGTTCAACAATTGCTATCTGTTGAATACTATTCCTTGGAAACGGTAGCGGAATTTCAGTAACGATGAGTGGAAATTGGTACAAGACGTTCTTCGAATACTTGTCAATGATTGAGTTGAAAACAAAGGAATCGTTACAATTGCTGAAGGAAGACTTGCAAAGAACCGACATATCACTAAATGGCGAATTCAAAGAGTTTTTCGTTCAAGAAACAAACGATCGGTAAGAACGGTTCTTTTTGGTTTTCCTTTTTATTTCAAAATATACATAAAAACATTATACTGTTTAAAATTGAGAGGAGAAAGTTCATATTTTATTTCAATTTTTTTATTTGCTTCTTTCCATAGAATCGCACTAGCTTACAAACAATTCATGTCTACGGTTGATTTTGAAGAACAACTTCTTGAAATTCGTACTGGACAGAAGCCATCCATCGAGGCATCGATCAACAAGAAGACCTTCAAACCGGTTTGGTTGAATGAAATGGTGAATACATTCCTTCCAAGTACACCGACTTCAAATGCACAAATCAATGCAAAAAATGACAACGTTTCATCTTTACCAGATCAAAATGTTCATCTTCAAGTGGTTGATACCCATGAAATCTGTTCAAATAAAAGCAGCAACGCAATTGAAATTGTGCAACCAACAAATGAAATTACACCACCCAACACGCCTGTGCCATCAGTGTTCACCGATTGGGGAGAGACCAGTTCGATTGAAGTCATCGAAAAATCGAATGAATTGACACCACCTAACACGACTATGCCATTAGTATTGAGCGATTATACAAATACCGACTCGGTGAATGTTCCAGAAAACGAACCAAATGACGTCGGAATAACAAACGGTATGCATTTTTGTGACTTCAACAATATCGACGAAGAGAGTTTTTTCGAAGAACAAGCTGCATCGAGGACACGAAACGAATCAACAAATCAAGCAACTGAAAGCACGGATTTGACGTGGGAAGATGTCGAACTATCTTCAGAGAGCATCAACAATCAAATCGTACGACAAGAAGAAAACGAGCGACAAAAGAGGAAAATCGCTCGTGCAACGTCTTTGGATCGAAAATTGAATAAAAGACTAAAGAGATCGACGTATAACACCCGATTAGATGTATACAATCATGTTAGGAGATATTGGAAACATATTTTTATCGAAAATGTCTGATAATTTTGTTTACATGGCATTCTTATAGGGAATTTTTGTGTGTTCATTTTCTATTAATTTTCTAAATGAATCTGTCTACCTTAAAAGCATAACTGACGTGAAAATTTCAATCCAATTATTCAAAATTTCGAATTTTATTTTCATTTTCCAAAAAAGAAGGCCGCAAGCACCAATGGATTTAATCAGTAGTAGCCGTAGATTTCCGTAGTATAGCTGAAGTAAAGAGTTTTGTTTCCAAGCGTTTCCAAGACAACATGTCGGTATCCGACTCCACCCGAAGGTCCGTTGATTCTGCTCTCATTATTGCTCTGAAAATGATTCAAAATGTCCAGAATGAATGTTCCAACACATATGAGTAATGCAAACTTATAACCAACACCAAATTGAACATTGGCTGCGCAACATTATCATAAAGAATGCATGATTTTTCGCTGTTACCTGTTCTACGACTATTTCAATGTAAGTAATGATAGCTTCGAATGCGAACATTTCCGTTTGTCTGACGTTAAATGCTGTTCTAGATTCTTTTCGTGGTGATTTGTAGTGGATCAAAAGTCGATCACCTGTTTGAAAGAAGAAAAATGGTCAGCTTTAAAAGGTTTGATAAATTTGTCGCAAAAAAGAAAATGAAATTCGAGGAAAAAATAAATAAAAAAAAAAACAAATTTACCATTGACACGATTTCCAGCAGTGTGTTTAATTAGTAGTCTTGATGAACCATATTCGGTGAGTGACTCGTTCAGAAAATGACGAAGAAGCTCGTTAATTACCCCTGGTACAGCAATCAATCCATCCAAATTTTCCACAATCGGTGACTCATTTGAATCGACCACCTCATTCGAACACTTCACTGCGCTGAAGGTCAATGCTACGGCAAACAAAAAAGCCACTTGCAGACGAAACATTTTGAATGCACTTCAGGAGACTAGCAAAGATAACTAGTTATCAGGTTGAATGGTAGATAGCTTTATATACATTTTGCTATCTTAACAATATGCATGGCAACAAAGTAGAGAGTGTATTTTTGCTACTGAGTAGGCTTGAACTAAGCTGAATTCAGAGATTGGATCGAGCTTGTAATATACTTGTATAGATATTAAGTGCCAGTATAGCTAGGCAGCATGCGGTGCATACAAACACTCACGCTTGTGTATCGCAATGCATGGTCGTTTGTGTATAGAAGCTTCAACGGTGCAATATTTTATCAGATACACTAAGGTGAATCTCTGCTAAAAATGATCATTTTCAACATCATTTTCAACCATGATCATTTTCAACCATGAAAGCGTTATTTCAACGCTTCGGACGCCTAAGTCAGCAAATTCAGCTCAGATCAGGCCTGCTCAGTAGCAAAAATACACTCTCTGCAACAAAGTATCAACTCAGAAACATTATAAACATTCCTTTCACTTCAGTTCTGGAATGCTTTGTGCTCACAACTTCCATTACGTTGAATGTGGCTGCTTAGGTGCGAAATGTTAGATAAGATATGAACGCTTGCTCACTATTTACCACTGTTGAATCATGTTTCATTCCCAAACAATCGAAAATTGAAAAATTGCAAAAATAAAATCAAACTATTGAAGATAAGAAAAATAGAAAAAGAAAAACAACATAAGACAACATACAAAAAAATCGTAATCAAAAATTGAAAGAAAAAAAAACAAAATAGAAAAATGCAACAATATCCGAACTGAAACGATGTTTCGGAAATTAATAACAGCATATTTATAAAATAATCAAATAAAAACGTATACATTTCAATTCGATGGGTGTTTTAATCGAGACTTCTAGGTCTGAATGGCTGTTGATTAAAAAGAGATAGCTTGATTGCTGCAACTAGGTTGCTTTGATATTTTGAAGATAAGTCTTTTTTGCATCTAGAAAAAAAACGCGATTTTCTGAGCTCGAAAAAAGTCGAACATAATCTCACATCATCTAATGCAACAACAACAAAAAAAACACTTTAAAATTGTTCAAGTCATATATTTGCATCTCTTCGATTTTTTATCGTAAAATGCCTTCGTTTCAGCATAATTTATAAAACATAACTTATTCCTATGGATATATCCTGAGTCATTCAATGAAAAGGTAAGTAAAAAAAATCTCTCTATATACACAATAGTTTTGGCTTATACCAAGGGTCATCCTTCAGTGCAAAGGACTGTGATTGGGCGAAATCGATGGTGGCGTTGTATTTAATTCTCATTTTTCCCGCCTTTCTCGAGCTCCGCGATTTTGAAACCAAATTTTCACGCGCACACACGTTAAATCAAGACGAATCGCCAATTTGTTTGCATTTTCTGAACTTAGGTAATTGGCACGTTTATAGGCAGTTTCCAGTTCATTCAGTTGAAATGGAGTGAATGGAATCCGTGGTAATCGTCCAGGTGTACGTTTGATTGGTCCATTTCGAACTGGTCCTATGATTAAAAAAAAAGGAAGAAAATGATTTGTAATGAAGGTAAAACATTGAATTTGAAATTTGGCAAAGAATGCAATGGACAATTTGGGCAAAATCGAATTTTGCGCAAAAATCAGAATTTCAAACGAAACTGAAAATAATCAGCACAAAAATCTTAGCTCTCTTTTGGAGGCTAGGCCATTCTAATGTCACATTTTAATTTATTTTATTTGTTTTCAAGCACGCTTTACATCATTGTCTGATTTGTTTAATCTTAAAATGAATTATGGGCAATATTTCTTAGATTTCCCAATTTAGATAAAAAAAATTAGATTGTAAGAATTAAAATTTCCATTAGGTGAATCAGAAAAGAAAAATAAATCAAAGAAATGATCAGTACATTTTTTCCTCTTTTTCTCCATAAAATACATAACGTTTCTGTCAAGTGTCGCTTTTCGAGTTTTATTGCCGTGCGGCGCTGGAAAATAAAATAAAGAATTCCGAACATCAACTTATAAAGTTTATTGCCTTTGCCCACTTGCGACCACTTTCTATACCTTTCAATGTCTATAATTTTCGCTACGCAGAATGACATTATCATTGAAAGTATTTCACAAATGCCAACCCAATCTGTTAACGGTGATTAGATACACAACCGGCACTTGTTTGCTGCATTTCTAAACCTTCTATAGTTTATTTTATGTATAGATAAATTTGAATTACACTGAAAAACCGTAACTATTTGAAAATGACTGATAAGAATGTTTGCTTTCCATTTCAAATTGATTTTTCTAGATCGCAATAGTTCACTATAAATAATGTTGCATTGCTATGAAAAATCATTTTAATGTGACAATCGATTTTTGTGGACGCATTCTGTGGATTTTCAAATAGTTTTTCGATCAATTCAATTTTGCTGCTTATTTAAATAAAAACGTTTACATCTTTGTTCATCGCTTTCAAAGAGACAATTTCAGAGAATGAAGTTGACATTGTTCGTTTTGTTCTGCATTTTGCAGTCAATTTTAAGTGCTAAACTTCCGAGTGTTCAGAGTAAGAAAGAGTTTGTTTGATTTATGTTCAACTTTTTATTTATTCTTCGTTCATATTTTCTGTTTGTTCCCATTATTTTGGTTACTGTTCATTTCGTTTTCGACCCAAGCACTTTTTACCAATCGAAAATTTCGAAAAAAAAGTTTTCTTCACGCTAAGTTCAGTTAGTTTCGAATGAATCAATTGTTATTAGTCGATTTTTGAATCGATAGTGGTGAAAAATGGCCTATTTATACCAATTTTCGATTCAAACTCCCACTTTTTCACGATTCAAATATTTCAGTTGGATTCCCACCGCTATCCGATCGAATTGTCGGAGGAACCGATGCTGAAGATGGCCAGGCACCGTATCAATGCTCGTTGCAGCAAAATGGTCGTCACTTTTGTGGGTGTGCGATTATTTCAGGTTAGTTTTAGCGTGGAATTGCGCACGGTTTTCATACAGTTCAGTGTAAAATTAGCGTCTCTAATAGGGAAAAGTGTCCCTTCTTAGAAATTGAAATGATTTTGACATTCGAAGTTTTTGTTCACTTCTTTTGACAATTTTTTTTTCAATTCACCATCATTTCAGAGCAATGGATCCTCTCAGCCGCTCATTGTCTTGCAATGTACGTACAAATCACAGGCATTTACTGTCTCAACTCATCATGTTATTCCATTGAAAATTTAAAAAAAATTCGAATTAAAATAAGACACTTTAATCTTCTATCTTTTGCTCTTCATTACAGAGGAATTAATGGCGTCGAGGTTTTAGTAGGAACAAATGACCTGCAGTCTGGTGGAACTCGTTACACTCCCAAAAAATACATTGTCCACGAAAAATATAATCAACCAGACTTTGCAAATGACATTGGATTGATTCAAGTGGAAAAGATTGAGTTTAATAAGAAAGTGCAGCCCATCAAATATTCATCAAAATTTGTAGAAGGTGGTGCCGCACTTTTGGCCACTGGATGGGGAAGACTGAGTGTGAGTTGATTTTTCTTTTGGTAGAGGTTTCGCATGCGTAACTATAGACTGTAATTTAGTTAAATATAGTTTACCTAAAATGAATTGAACTGAATTATTTGATTATTAAAAACGTCAATATTCTGACAATGATTCCAAAACAGGCCGGAGGACAAGTTCCACAACTTTTGCAAGCGATCAATTTGACGTCGATTACAAACGAGGAATGTACAGCTGCCCAGGGTGATGTTGTTGATGCTAGCCACTTGTGTACATTCACAAAAGCCGGCGAAGGAGTTTGTAGTGGTGACTCTGGAGGACCGCTTGTCTTAGGCGATGAAGTCGTTGGCTTGGCCAATTGGGCTGTTTTGTAAGTGATGGTTCATATTTAATTCAAAGGCATCAGGATTTATTAAAAGGAAATTGACTTAATTTTCAATGACGTTTTCCCTATTTAGGTGTGCTCGTGGCTATCCAGATGGTTTCGCCAGAATTTCCTATCTCTACGACTGGATCATAGAAAATATTAAGTAAACAGAGCTTTTGATCATGAAAATCGATAAATGTCTTGAAAAGAAATTCCATTTTAATAAGAAAACTTCAATAAAAAATTGTTCAATATTAGAAAAATAGACTGATATGGATTGTTTTTGTTTATTCTGAATAATTGGGTTGTCGATGCATGTTTTGCTCATTATTTTCTGTTTATTAACGTGGAAGTTGATCGTTGTTTGATTTGAGCTACTGTCACACTAATTACTTGTTGTGAAAAACATACTTACGATATTGGACTTTTCTACCTTCAATGTTTTGAAACAGTAGAAATAATGACATTTACCCAAGGCTCGTAACACTTTTTACCAACAATTTGAAACTAACTTACAATTTGTGGCCGTTAAGAATAGCTGTCCTTTTGAATTTATGAGGTGATTTAACCATCATCGTCTAATACCATTGATTCTACATGTAAAATAACAACAAAAAACGACAAATGTGACCTCTCGTAGCGGCACAGTTGAAACTAACGAAACAAACAATTGAACATGTCATTTTCATGTTCAGTGTTGGTTCTGTTATTTGCCGTATAGCCAGAGAGAGATGTCTACAGCTTAGTGGCATTGAATGACATTCAACACCCACACACTCAATATTATAGCGACATCTATTATTAAAATAGCTTGTAGTAAACGCATTCATAGCATTTCACTGTAGTTGCGATGTTACCTATTAAATTTCCCTGTGGTATGTAGTTAACAAGTGTCAAACATGAATGTGTCAGTACTACAAGGGAACTTAATAGGAAACATCGCAACTACAGGGAAATGCTATAAATGCATTTACTACAAGCTATTTTAATAATAGATGTCGCTATAATATTGAGTGTGCATGGATTCAACGATGGCGAATTTCATATCAATCGTCAGTTATAAGTTCAACAATTTACTCGCTTGATAAATAATTCACAATATTGATTCAACGTACTCTCAAGTGTGTACAAATGAGCATACTCTTATCAGAATGCAATCAAAGTCGTGGCCGATTTAGATGAACATTGGATTTGTTGAGCAAAATCGATGGATTTGTCCGTCATTTTTGGGTTTACACATTAGAGAAGAACAAATTCATGTGCAAAGACAAGAAATGCAGTGAGCACTTCAGAATTGCTGATAACAATATTTGATTAAATTCCATACATTTCACTGACTCAAATTGCTTTCTATTTAGCCATTCAAGGCTTGCGAAAGAATTTACCTTAGAAATCCTGTAAAAATGAATTGAAGAACGATAACAAATAAAATAATTTCTTGTCCAGAATTTAAAAAAAGTAATATTCATTGAATTCGGACTTCGTAATGTTTATTTATTGAAAAGTAAAGAATAATCAATGATTGGCAGAATAATATTGGAAAGTATCGATTGTGAGCTTTATCTATAGGTATTTTAAACAATGAGTATGCAAATTAAGTTGTTTCAATTGATTGATCGAAGATGGAAATACTGTTTGGGT